TCATAAAAAAATATAAATAAATAAAAATAAATAATAATAAATAAATAAATACTCTCAAAAATTCCTTGAGCTATGCATGCTGTTCTTTGTATTTCTCCCGATTCCAGTCTTTTCTCTGWTGCCAACACAGGAAGCCCGACTGGTTCTCAGTCATTGATGATTTTCTCATCTCCCTTCAGTCTTCCCCGACACATTTACATGTCCTACTTGAATTAAACACGACCACACTTCATATTTATTTACAAATCATCTAGAATATTTGCAGTAGACCCATTCACTGCATCCACCTTCTTCATTTCCTCCAGCACAGACAGCCCATTTTGTTGTCCATTCGATTTCTTCCTATTTGAATCATAGTCAAGTGAGTTAATCGTAAGCGTTTCCAAAGACATAGAATTTATTAGCGTCGCAGTGGGCTTCGACTGCCACTTGATCTGGAATTTTTTTCGATTTCTTGAGAGACGTCGGTAAAAAAAGATTTCCAGCCCCATAATACCAAAACAGCCGAAGCAACACAGGGCAGTGTTGAACAAAAATCCCCCAAACTCGTCAAAACCCATTCCAAACGGCTCGATATTATTCTCGCCTTTCTTACAGCTCTGCGTCGTCCAACGTTGAAATGCCTGAACAATCTCTTCCTTCATATTTAATTTATAAATTGCTTTAGAAATTTCTTGATTCCAATCAGAGTTTTTCCTCAGAGCGAATGAAAGTCCAGAGAGCTCTAATTCCTTGCCATCAATTTTTATACTACATTTGGGATCTTCGGCTATCTCGTACTGGAGGGCGTCAGATTCCCCGATGAATGCTGATAATGTCCTATAAATACCAATCACATTATCAATATCATAAAAAATTATAAAGCTTATTATTAGCAATCTCAAAGACTCAAAGAGGGTTCCCTGAACCTAGGAATAGGTTTAGTCGGTCGCAATCTTCCGTGAGGGTCTGGCACCTGCTGAGAAAAATGATCCAATCTCGAGCCCAGAGACTTCCGGCATTTTGGTCAGCAGGCTGGCGCTGACAGGGATAGACTCTGGCCTAACTTACGTATACTCCCATCGTAACATTGGAGCAAGAGTACCACTGATTGAGTCCACACTATCTCGGCAATACCTACGTACCCGGTACGAACTCTCTCGACGCCTTCAGAAAAATTATTCACTGCGTATTTCTCCATGTTTTTGAATATTTCTCTAAACTTTGGGATTTCACTATTCCGAAAAAAGTCCTCAGTACTTGAATGTTTTATTGTTCCAAATGTRAAGTCATCTGGCGGGTTGCGAAGCTGAACGATTAGAAAGAAAAAGGAAGGTCACGTGATAAGGTAGCTATATTACACACACGTATGCAAGGCTTTGGATCAGTTAAACGTGCGCGGTACACAATAGGTCGACCTTTTTACCTAGGGTGTAATGCTTTCCCATCTTAAATCACGTGTCATTCTCTTGAGTATTATTCCTCTTTTTAACGGTTGGCAACACATGAATATGGGTGTAGCTCGATCAAAGAATATGCGAATGCGCCGTTTTATATGTAGTATGGCGAAATGAGAAAATTTTATACCCCAGGTAAAAAAGTCTGCGTGTTGATTGGATATCTCACCTTTTCGTCCTCCACACCTTTAACTAAAGACACTTCATCAACTACAATCAGTGATACTAGTAAATTAGCAGTATATGAACTAATCAAAACCAAMGCGCCAAAATTAGCACAAACCATAAGACAAGGCACAGCGAACGTTTTCGCTTCAATTCGCGTTAGAGGGACATGGAAGATGTTACCAAAGACATATGCCAGGTACTCAAATGGAAGAAAATGTTCAGACTTAATATGACGGTAGACACTGATCTTCTCAAACAGCCAAACGACGGTGGCAACTGTGAGAAAGGTTCCGACACAAGCGAGCCATAACAAGACACTAAACGGCTTCATTAGTCTCATATCCTTCAGGGACTCAGGAAAGGGATACTTCTTAATGCGCTCTCTYTTGACTAAAAATGCTAATGATGTTCCCATGTATGGAGCAGTGAAATCTACATATTTGTATCTTTCGTGGGTAATAGTAACGGTTGCTAAGGCCATGTCTGCTTCACCCCTAGCAACTTCACCAATCATCCCATTCATTTGATTGGTGCTTTTGTCAAGAGAGCCATATTTCCCGTCGCGTACAATATACAAGTCAAACGTAAACCCGGTCTCTTTTTGTATCATAAACAATATGTCAATCATGACTCCATAGCAACAATGTAACTCAGTTTTTTCTTGAGGATTATTGTGAAAMTCCGATGACGTGTTATTGACGTATTTAATACAAATGACGCTATTGTCTGAAGCACAACTCGTACCCAGTATACTACTGTGTTGAGATTCTTTGATCATCGTGAAAGGTGGATGAATTATGGTCACTATTTTGAGATGTCGAGGTTTTGGTAAATCATCCACTAGGAAGGCCTCRAAGGCTCTTGGTCCGTCAGTGTTCCGAAGATGCACCGATGCAGTGCCGAGCTTGTTCCACTGTTTCGTCCCATGGTATAGGTGAGAAGTTGTCAATTTTGTTATTACAAAGTCGTARCTTTGTCTGTGGCCTAATGAAGAGAATTCTACCAAACCGGTTTTGCCAACAAAACTACATCTGAGCATCTCTCTGTTGTCAGAAAGAAATAAAAATATAATGTTAAAAAATGTTAATGTGATTAGCTGAACATCAGCTCTGTGTAAGAATCATGGTTGCTGTGCGCATGCGCCGCTGATATATATACTCTTCCCCTCCACGATGTGGCCCCGTCATCGTAGGTGAGTCATTGTTGTGCTGCAAGGTGTTTTACTCTGGTACTCTTTCTCCATGAAGGAAGTTATGCTGGAGGACAGAATCAAATTAATATCATTTTCCTCTGATGAATGAATTGTCCTTAGCAGAAAGTGTAGGTAAGGTTAATTTGTCACGCAAGTACTGGGCAACGCTTTTGGGTAGCTCAGATAACAGAAATAGTAAATTAGAGGAATATCCTGGTGAAGAGAGGCAAGTTGAATAAAAGCTTTTGTCAGTAATTTATT